GTAGAGTCAGCAAGACACTGTAACAGTTCTGCTGCAAGTTTGTCATGTATTACCTTACCTCAGACATAATCATGTTCATTCCTCCATTTATTTCAGTCTGTGCTTCTGTTTTGCATCCATTGTGCTTTCTGTTTGTTACTGTCCTTGCAGTTACATCCAAGATTCTTCTACTTACTCCTTTTCCTATACACAAACTTTCATCCAGAATATTACCAGTTTCACACAGACAGAGGTAACAGCAGAAGTGGTGTATTTTTAGCTTCACATCATTAGCTGTGTACATGCAGCATGCACACTTTTGAAACAGGCAGTACTGAGAAGGTTCTGAATTTTCTGAAAAGCACGTAGATGATGAGCTTTATGTCCTTGGATTTTTGCTCTTGGTTATGGAACTCACTGCCTGGGCCAGGATGAGGAAATACTTCCTGCATCTGCTGTGAAAAAGTGCTGGATCACAGAATTGCTCAGTTTTCACCACAGCAGAAAGGGAACTTTGAGCCATGGCTGTTGGGGAACACTTCAGGACTTACGAGGATAGCGGGGGTGTGATGTAGTTCTCACTATTTTGGACACAAAGCAATCAGGATAGAGGGAGGCACTTCCAAGAAACCTTGTTTGTGATGTGTTAAGCAAGAGTTGGGGCACCAGTAAATCCAGTCATGTGTGCATGTGGGCAGCAAGCACAGGAATGCTCAGGTGAGCTCTGAGAGGGGTTGTCAGGGTGCCAGGAGTAATGGGGCCACTTCAGGAGTCGTGGTGTTGCGCTAGATGTCCACGGCTTCCATATTTTGGGCTGGACAGGGGGTGCAGCAGGAGGCTATGATGGTAAAAAACACACCCTGCTTTTAGATAGGAACTCTTGTAGCAAGACTGCTGCCTCCTCATTGCCTTGATAGAGAAGGAGCTCTGTGTCACCATTGCTTTTCTCGTATCATACAGTCATCTAATTTGGAAATGAGGAAAAGACTTCTAAGATCATCTAGAGTAACTGTAAGGCCATCCCCACCATGCCCACTAACCATGTCCCTCAGTGCCATATTGCCCCTTCTCTTGAACACCCCCAGGGATGGTGGTTCCACCACCTTCCCGGGCAGCCTGTGCCAGTGCCTCACCACGCTTTTTGAGGATAAATTTTTGCTAATTTCCAACCTGAGTGATGGGTTCCAGGCTCTGCCAGGGGACTTGCCTGATGCTTATGCTGATAGTTTGTTTTGTTTTGTTTTTTTTTACCTAAATGTGGGTTGCAGTAGAGTCTAGATGAGAATCACTCCAATGGGACACCTTTAATCATGAGCAGCAGGTCACACCAGGCTCTAAGATCATACATTGATACCCAAACAACTACTTGAGTTTGATCACTCCAGGTTCTCCATCCTGCCAAAATTTAGGCAGAATAAAAAAAAAGCCTGGCACATAACTCAATTTCTCCCTTTACATCCCTGAACCTGCAATGTGAGCAGGGGGGAGAGGACTGGCTGGTGGCATGGTGACAGGCTGCATGTCTGGCACCCAGCCTGGTGGCGGGGGGTGCTCGCCATGCAGCCATCTTCACAGACAGTCATGTCATGCTGCTCTGTGCTGTCACCCGTTAAGCAGAAAGACTGTGGGCTTCCTGAAGCTCCAGTCACATGTATTCTGCGCCAGCAAAAAAAAAAATTTGGCTTGCTGCTGATAGAAACCTAACTTAATTTTACCATTAAAGAGGGCTTAATATAGTCTACTAATGTTATCATTGTTCGCCTGATTTCCCTTCTCTGCTGATTGTGTCTCCTTCCCTGTTTTCTCTCCATGCTGAAAGGAAGCTGCTAGAACAGCCAGCGTTGCTGAGGCAGACCATGCCTCTGGAGGATGCTGCTCTGCGTTTGCTACGGAATGTGGGCACTTTGCACAGTCTGGTTGCACAGCCCCGCACTGTGCCAAGTTGTCCTCTTGTCACCTGCTCTACACTCGGGAGTTTGCATGCAGATCTATGTGCGTACCACATTCTTATCCCTATCAGGTTTTCCTTCTGAAGACTGCCTTCTCCTTTTTTCTCTTTTTTTTTTCCTTATATCTTACTTTGCCAGGTCCTTTTCTGCAGCTGACGTTACATGGCACATACTTACTTACCCCAGTCATCACTTCAACTGTTACATCCTTTTAACCTTCACAGTTGCTGCAGTAGACAATTGTGGGGATAATTTAGAATGAATTTACTTGGCCAGTATTAAAACCACAAAGAAATCCAAAGCAATTCTGTGCAAAAGGAATCTCTTGATGAAATTATTTGCAAGGGGCTGAAAGGGGAATACATCGTGAAAACTCAGTCCAGCTGCAAGGCAGTGCTTTGGGGACACCACTGTGGGCTGGCAGCTGCATATGTCGTGTCAAACCTGTTCTAACCACTGCACAGTGAATGCAGAATGGTCAGCATTGCTGAGCAGGGAGTGGGCCTTGCTGACAGATGCTTACTGCTATTTGTGTTGTGCATTAACTCAGTGAGTTCTGTGTCTTTAATGCAGTTCTGTTCTCTGTGACAATTCCCCTTTTCTCATCGCGTCTAAGAAATTAAATTGAATTTGCAAATTATTACAAATTGGTATTAGGATGCCTGTTGACGGATCAGACTAAATGAAAGGCATGCCCTGAAGTAAGTGAGCTCATTTAGTCATTGATTAATTGATTTAATTATCTCTCTATTGTAGATAGGAGGATTCATATGTGGGCTGAATGAAGACCTAACTCTTCTTAGTAAGTCACCAGGGTTGTTTTGATTTGCTTTGTCACTGTTATTCCTTAGTAGCCACGTTTTTACAAGTGCTGTGTTGAACCATTTGTTAAAGACCACTTCTAGGCTAGCTTCTGTATCCTGAATCCATTTGAATCTTCAGAGTCTGTAGTCACTTTTTCTTAGCACTAATTCTTCATCCTCATCTTCTTTTCCCTGGGCAAACGTTCAACACATGGTCCAGGTTGAATTTTAATCTTGACACAGCGTCCTTAATTTCTGTGATCTCTGCTAATTATATTCTTAATGCATTCATCAGAAGGCCTGATCTTCTGTCTTGGAAGTTTTCTTTGCTAGCACGTGTTTAGCTACTGCTGCAGTAAAGTTGTGGATTCACAGGGGTGTGCATCATTTCATCTGTCTCCTGAAAATGTTTCCCTGACTTTCACACATCTGAACTGATAGTGGTCAGCTGCAGCTCCGTATCATTTCAGCAGAAAGGAGCTTTCTCTCATGTAGACCTTCTTGTAAATGCTACAGAAGTACCTTAAAGCCTCAATTTTAAGGTTGTACCTTTCTATGATGCCTGGATTAGATAGGCCATCAAGCTGGTAATCTGCCTACGTGGGAGATTTTATTGTCTGATTATTCCTTATGCTTTCTTTTCTTTTGATCTCTCTTTACCCTTCCTTATCTCAGGCACTGAAACAGAAAACAAACTGCTTTGATTCTGATCTATATGAAACTCTCAGATCGATGTATGTTGGTCCATCATCAGGACTCTGATCTGCTACAGCATTTTTACAGTGCTTCCCCTGGAAACCATAGGGAACCTTAACATCTCTGTAATGAAATAGCTTTATCATGTGCTCAACCTGAGTTTCTCATGCTCCAGAGAAAATAAGACCAGAAACATCAGACTCCTTTGTTTTGATGCTGAACAGATAATTTGCTGACCTTATTTGTACCTTCAAAATGTGGAGCTGGATGCAGAGAGGGGACTAATAGGATCAGAAGATTGGATGTTAGGAAAAACTCAAAAAGGGTGGTGAGGCACTGGCACAGGCTGCCCACAGAGGTGATGGAGTCACTTTCCCTTGGGGTGTTCAAGTAAAAGGGGAACACAGCACTGACTTACATGGTTTAGTGAGCACGATGGGGATGGGTTCACGGTTGGACTGGATGAGCTTAGAAATATTTTCCAACCTTAATGATGCTATGATTCTATGAAAAGCAAGTTCCAGCAAAATAGCTACATGTATGTTCTGTTCTTCAGATGGGAACGTATTTTCCTAGTACAGCTATAGCTGTTCAGTAGCTGCAATAGGTTAAAGCAAAGAATACTCTGCAAAACAAAATCGGTTTCAAAATCCAGCACTTTCTCACATCTCTAGTTTGGCTCTGTTTAATATGTTGAGCTTTATGCTGTGATTCTATAATTAGCTCTGTAATTTTCTGTGGCATGGCATCAGTGTTCATTATTGAAGCACATTGCCTGTTTTTATCCTAGAGATGTATTTTGTCCTGCAGCAGCAGTCAAATGCATGAACTGAGCATTATGAAGAGGTTCAGGAACGAGGAATAGTAAATGCTCAAAGCTGCATGTGGTCCACAGGATGTAGGAATTTCAGTGCTGCCATTGCTAGTGCCAGGTGATGGGGAATCCTTCATCTCTGCTGCATGTGTGTTGAAGATGGCTCTCATCTCCTTGCTTAGGCTGGATGTGGCTCTGTGCAGCCTGCTCTGGTGGTTGGTGACCCTGCACATAGCAGGGGCGTTGAAACTAGATGATCATTGTGGTCCTTTTCAACCTAGGCCATTCTATGATTCTATGACTTTTCCAGTCTGTAGCATAACATAGGAGCCAGTCATCTGTCCCTAAAATCTTCAGGTACGTCTGTCGACCCTCTTACTTCAGAACAGAAGAAAAACTGTTTAATAAGGTCACATTTCTTGATCTACAATAACAGGTGCAGAAAAGGTTATGTATAGATATAACTTCTCACATGAGGTTTTTTAAACATATAAATACACGTACATAAAACCTCTGGGTGGTTCTGTTTATTCTGTCGGTCAAAGAGAGGGGGGGGTTCCTGGAGTGGTGGGAAGTGTCAGCAGCTCCTATTTATGTGTACTGCTTTCTTCATCTGTAATAGAATGTGGTAATCTGAGATGAAAGGGAACTGGTAACAATGTGTGATAGCCATGCGACTTTTCCTATGCCTTTATAAGGAGATACTTTTGTAATGAAAATGTAAATGTACATTTAAATAAATGCTTTAATGAATTCCAGGTGCTGATCTTCTGTGAGTGCCTTCCCAGTGCCAAAGAAAGAACATGTTTTTGATGGAAAGCCTACTTTTAAATGAGTACAAACAGAAAGGTAAATAATCCCCTTTCCAGTAAGTTGATGGAATACATTCTCTACATGGGATGTGTTTCCTGCTGAGAAATATGTGGGCAAATACATCTGGCATGTACTGTGGTTCTGACTGTGCAGCCCGGTACATAGGAAGTAGGCATCTTTAAAAAATGAATTTTTCTTTCTTTACTTCTTAAACATAACAGAAGAAAGATTCAAAGGTGGTTTGTTTCGCTCTGAAAATATTTCTGGTTTGGCTTTTCTGTTTTTTGCAGTGTCACTCCTCATGGGAGGGGTCAGGAATACTTGAATCTTCAGCTAGAAGATCTTCTGCAGCCTGTTTATCAGGTATGGGAATGCATTTGGGATTAAAAATAATCACACTTGGGTCTGATTTGATTTCTTATCTCTGTTATTTGCTATCTTCTCTTCTTTCTGCTAGTTTTATTTTACTTGCCCTCCAGTTATCAGAGAATCTTTTCAAAATAGTCATAATTGAAGTTGGTGCGATACCAGAAAAAATACAGAGAAATAAACACTTTGATGTGTATTCATTGTTACTTTTGAGTCATGCCTAAGAGGAATTATTTCCAGATCACCTTTCTTTCTCTGACAGGCAAGTTGGCAAGATTATTTATGTAGCAGTGTAAGAAAATCGAGTACTGAAGATAAGCAGAGGGGAGGAAAAGTTACGAGCGCCTCATTTGGAGAGCTCCCTTTGTAGAGGCCTGAGTGGACGTGGTACAGTGCAAGGCGTAAGAATCCAGACAGGAGCTGTAGGTTTTGAGTGCTTCGTGACAGGGCCATTTCTGCTCAGCATTGGGATTAGCACTTCCCTTGGATCTTACGTAACACAGACTTTGCCGGGGTGGTTTCTAAATAAGATCATGGCTCTTCAGATTCCAAAAGATGTAAGTCAGAGGAAATATTTTAAACTGAAGGACTGTTTTATTTTCGTAGTGATTATTGGTTTCCTCCCTGTTCCCAGTAAGAAACTACAGTGTATGTAAAACAGCAGTGGGAATGAAAAAAATGATGTTTGTAGAGTGAAAAGATAGCAGGAAGAAACAGTGGCTTTTGTTGTGAGTGATAACGTACTTCTAACACACCTTATAAAAATAGGGAATTAAGTTAGTCATTGATCCTCCAGTACAATTTCTGAAGTGCAGCATGTGATGCTTCTGTCCAGAAAGCCGTGATGCCCTCCAAAAAAACAAGGCTGCAGCCCCTGTGCTGCCCCAAAGATTGCTGTTTGACAGAGGAACAGTCAGCTGCTGTGGTGATGGGCACAGGATGGGAACAAGGGCAGAAACAGTGGAGTGTGAGACAGAAGCCTGGCTACTCCTGTTCCCTTATTGTTTCAGTAGCTCTTTCTGAGTTTGGGGATGGCTGATTCCAAGGAGTTAGACAGACTGTTTCACTGTTCTCTGCCTCACATTCTCACAAGTACTGCAAAAAGAAGCATGATGATAATGTTCATATAGATCTGCGTATCATTCCTTGCAGAGCAGTGAGTACTGGTTGTGCTTGAATTTGAGCGCACGGAAATCTCTCTCCCCCTATAAGAATTGAAGTGAGTTTTTTTACAGTAATTTTTGTAATGCATAATTCGTATACTATAGTTTTTGTCATATGAGCATCTCACTGTATTTTCCCCAGCTTGATAAGCTTGCTTTTGTATTTTTAGGATTTCTTTTTCCCTAATAATCCCAAAAAAATAAACATGAAGGGGTTTCGAAGACTTGCATAGCAAGGGCGTTGCTTCATTCAGTAGGTGATTTGCTGGCTCCTACTATTTACAGGTCCTTCTTCTGCAGGGAATTATTTACCCTAGTATGGGGCTGTGCCACTGCCAGGGATTCAGTGCCTCAAAGTAAAACAAATCAGTTAAATCTTACTTCTATCATTCAGTAATTTTTGGGTCTCTAGTCCAAAATGACTCATTTGACAGGGAACACAGTGTTTTCTAAGTTTAGTAGTAAACTTTGGTTGCCTGTTTTATTGATTTGACTGTAAAAGCACTCAAAGTTCAGACCTTGAGAAAAGGGCTCGAGGCCTGTAGAGGAGTCTGGAGGAAGAGAAGAATGATTATGAGGTTACATTTTCAATTGTCTATTTCAAGAGCAACACAAACAGCTTCTGACATTTTATTTTTTTTTCCAGATTGAGGACAACCCTTTCTCATTCATAATGGATTGTTCAGAAAAAAAAAGACAATTGGACGTGGTAGAAGCTGTTTTTTTCCTAAGGTATAGCACATCTGTGTCCCTCCTTGGTATCAGGTGGTACTTGTAAGTGCTTTGCAGCATTAGCCATCAGACCTTTCCTGTTAGAGGCTTTGAGAAGCTTCAAAAATGAAAAACATAAGCGTATTGTGCGCTCAGAACAAATGAAATGGATGTTTGCTTAGTAATACTGGTCTTTATTCATGGGCTGTTCGCCCATTCCAGAGGAAATACTCCCAATTGTTTGCTTGGTAGATCTTTTCATTAGTGCTAAACAAAGGACAGGAAGGAAAGCGAGGTATGCAAAGTATTGTCATCAGTGTAGGAAATTTTAACAGTAATGATTTGTCATGTCATTAGTTTCCTTCCCCAACTGACTAAACAGTTTTTCTTGTTACCTGTTTGTGTCAAGCCAGCACAGACCTTGTAGTCATTAAATCACAGCTGTAAAAGCTTAGGTTGTTTCTTTCACGTTGCCAGTTCTAAGATAACAAAATTACTCAGCAAAAAAAAAAAGTTCAGGCAGCTGGCCAGGAGTGAAAGCTGGGCATTTTATGAAGACCTAGTAAAACTTCAGTAAGAATCGCAAAGTTTGATGTATTGATTTTTGTCTGTAAGTTCAAGAGGTGTTTCATTGCAGACTGAAACTCTCATCTCTGTTTCTCGTGACCAGCTGAGCAAGGGAGATGGGATTTGATGTTATCCAAGGTGTGATTCCACAGTTCGTGTCTCTAGCTAGCGCCAGCTTAATAAGTTTCTGCCTACTCCCATCCGTTTATTTCCAGGTCAGCAGCAATGCCATGCCATCTCTTTCCTCACTATGTGAAAACCCAGGGCTCTGAAAATATCTTAGTAAGGAACAGAAATGCAAATAAATGCTTTTTTTTTTTTTTTCTTTGAATCAGAATCATGTGAATGGTTTTGTTCACAGCGTGGCCCAAGGACAGCTGCATCAGTACAACTGGAGGTGACATGAACTGCAGCATCAGAGGCACAGCAAGCACTGGAGGATGTCCCAATGTTAAGTGGTCTTGCTGTCAGCAAAAACCTGCTCTGGTACTGTATCCCAGTTGGATGGGTTTCACTGGATGTAGAAATATTTATTGAACTGTTCATTTGTTTGTTTGTTTTTAAGGATTAATATCTTGGGGTTTTGTGTTGTTTGGATTTTTTTTTTTTTTTTTTTTTTGCTTGAGATAAACCATCTATCTGAGAAATAAGTCAGCTTTGTGGACAGCCAGTGGATGTCAATAAAGTCTTGGCAAACACAGTAGGTATTTATTCAGCCTTGCAAATTAGAAACATTTCTCCTGCTTGTTTTATGAAGGGAACAAAAAAAGACAAATTACATAGCGGATGAGCTCTCTTGATAGTTGGAATTCGTTTGTCTGGTGGTGAAAACGCTGGGGGATTTATGGTGCAGAAAAATAAAAGATGAAACAGCTTTTCACCAATAGCAGTGCTTTAAGTTCTCATTGAAAATTACTGGGGAAAAAACCCTTTAAAGACATCTGTAGCTGACTTCACAGTCTCAATTACTGTCTTGGTAGGCAGTTCTTCCCTTCCTCACTGCAGTAAGTATTAATTGTTTTTTCAGCTGGCAAACAATTCCTTTATGGTTCCTTGGTCTTATTGCCGTGGGGTATCTGCAGCAACTCATAAGTGAGATACATGGCCAAGTGTTGAGTAGGAAGTTCGCACTCCTGCTTCCCATGCTATAGCCGCTCTGTTAACAGAGGCTTTCTGCAAAGTTATCAATCTGTCATCTTCTCTTGGCTTCACATTTTATTAAAAAAAGGAATTTGAAAAGTTACAGTAAGTTGAGCAATTTGTCAGACGTAAGTAACTTGAAGGCTATTGTCTCCAAATTACAGGCTGACTCGGTCTTGCAGCCTGTCATGGATGGATCATAAAATTGTCATAGATAAAAGCTTTAACAAAATCCGCTTAGGCAGCTCCTGTGATGGCAGAACATGGAAAGGAAGCAATAACTGAAAGACCTGGTAAGCCTTTGGCTGCAGCTAAACCACTCGTAAGTCACTAGAATTATTCAACAGCAAAACAAAACCAGAGAAAACTCCAAACTTGCAGTGGTTTAATCTCTGATGTAGCTTCACTCGTGTAAGTAATCTCACTGATGTCAGATAAGGCCTTGTGAATTCTGTAATATTGAAGATCAAACTGCTGATGCTTTATTTCCTCTGAAAGGGTACAGAATAGTGTTTATTTGTAACTACAGAAACAATGAAACAAGAAGCTTGTTCATTTCAAGTTTTTATGCAAGTCTGTTAACTGAGCTGAGTTTGCTCTCTATATTTCCCAAGTTCCTGCTTTTCTACTAAGTAGAATCATCAGCATGAAGGTGTTGTCTCCTCTGCTCCTCTTCTTCCTCTCCATTTAAACAAAGAAATTATTGCTAGCAAATGTGGAAGGAACAGAGAAGTCCAAGATCTAAAGATTCATTAAAAATGTACAGGGTCTGATAGTTGAAGGAGCTAATTAGGAGGCGTCTTGGAGAATTAGCTTAGTTCTCTATCTGTAGTTCATTTGTTCTTCCAGTTTAGAAGAACAGTTTGCAGCCCTAATGCAGGAGTGCTTCTCGCTGTCTGTGCTCTGGAACTGCACATTGTTCTTACATTTTTTGAAAGACACTTTCTTCAAAAGTACAGATGTGTTCAGTGGAAGAGTCTGTCCTTTGGTTAGTCATACTGAGACATTGTGGTCTGCACCCATTGTAGGAGTAGCAATAAATGCACATACACACATGCTGAACTTCAACTGCAAATCCCTTGTACATGGCACATGTAACTGTGCATGGACACACACTGCAACAGTTCAGCCTTGCCTCTGAGCAGGGAAGATAACAGTTGTGAAGCCTTACTGCCTCCTTGTCTCACAGATTGATGCCAAATTTGTTGGATTTTCTCTCGAAGATTTTCTGGGAGGGGAGTGCTTAAGCTGTCCTGCAAACAGATATTCCCTGGGAACTGCCTATGCTCATTTCAGATTTCTCTCTTCCATCTTCAGCCATGTAGAAGCTCAGTTTCTAGGCTCAGCTAGTTGTTTAGCTTGTCGCTGTGGTAAATGAAGAGTTACACACCTCTGGAGGTAATTAACACATGGAAATAGATGTAATTAATTACATTTCTGACATGATTTCCTGCTGCCTGAAGAGAACAATTTTAACACTACTTGGCTGTCCTCAGGAGACTGCGGATGGGTTCATCTCGGGTGATGTTTGTAATCAGCTGAAGTCAGCTTGCACAGAGCTGCCAGCAGCAGGCACAGAATGTGCAGGTATGACACTGCAGAAGGGAACAAGTACAGCCCTTAACTTCTTGAATTATACTGCAGCAGGGCAAAGTTTGAGGCTTTTTCAAGCCTTGAGGAAATTGTCCACAGTGTTAAAGCATCAGCATTTCCTGCGCCCGCCAGAACAGTGTTGTTTTACAGCCACACAGGGCACAGCGGTTGCCTTCTATCATCAGAACATGCTGTGCTGTTGTGCTGCTGCTGCTTTGGGTAATTTGTTCTTGCTGAAGCTCTGTGATGTGCTTATGGAGTGCTTCGCAGAATGTCACCGTGAGCGTGGCTGTGCCTCATCTGTGCAAACACTGGGAGTTGTTTGACTTGATTTCGTAGACTCGACTTGGGTATGTTTGTTCTGCCAGCTGAAATGAGACATTGAAGACAGGTTATAAAAAATACATCTGTTTGAAAAGATTAAATGGTTTAAAACACACTTGAGTAATAGAGTTCCAAGAAAAATCCTTGTGTCAGACTTCCTAGAAATTGTGGTGGAACCAGGTGGTAAGTGCCAGCACTGAGCAGTTAATTAATGCAGCCCTCACATTAGGTTTGGGCACACACCTCTAGCGTTACAAATACCCACAAACGGTGGACCGGTCCATCTTTGGGGCGAGTCAGCATGCAGGGACTGATACATAGACTGTTTCACACGCTGTTATTTCTGCTACTGCTGCTAAAAATAATGTGTTTCAGCATTGAGCAGGAGGCATTTCGCATGGTGTTTTGCTGTCACTAGAGGGAGTTTGCAGCAGTGCTTCTCTTACTGACGTCCTCGGTGATCTCGGTGCTGTGGGGAGACCTCGGCAGACACTGTGCCAGGACAACGGCAGTTCTGAAAGTAGGATGAGGGTCCTTCTTCCTTCGGTACACCCTGGTACGTCTTGTAATCTGGATTAACAACATTCTTCAGGGTAATAGTGCTGTAAGCAGTTCTGTTTCTGTTGGTAGCGCTGTAATAGAAAACAAATGAGCATTCGGTGACTCAAAGCAGAATCAGGAAGTAAGAAAAAAGCATTGATTATTTAATAGGAAAAAACAAAGATGGAAAAAACCACCATGGATAGATACTCTTCTGATTTATTGTTACAGGAATATGGTCTTGGCTAGAAACAAGCTCCCTCAGGAAGCTGGTTTCATATGGTGGTTTAGATTTAACTATTTATTGTCTAGCACCATTTGAAATCAGTGTTCTTGGAGGAAGAATGCCTGCTGTGTTCATCAGTGAAGTGGATCCTTGGAAACACTGGTGGAGAAAGAAGGTCAAGATCTTTCTGTGCTTCTGTTGCTAGAGTTAGCTTCACCACTGGACAGACTCCTTAAGTAGGCTGTGACCTCAGAGTGCATGCCTCAGACAGCCCTTGGGAGAGCAGTGCAATATGTGATTTCAAAGGCAGAAATTCTGTTGTAATGGTGCTGGCCACGAGCATGTTTATAGTATTTGTAGGTGGTCAACCAGAACTTGGAAACAGAGAAGGACTTACAAGACATAAACATTACAGAAAAGCATAATATGGAATTGCAACACAGCATTGAAGACATTGATGTTAAAACAGCCCCTGTTGAATTACATTCTTACGTTATGGCAAGAAATGAGGAAGGGAGCCTCATTTGCTCTGCTTTCTGCCCGTCGTGGATGCCTTTTTGGGTTTTTGTTCTTTACTGCTTCTGTAAGTGCCTGTTACATACAGTGTGTGTATCATACATTACACTGAAAGTGCTGGATGCTGTCCACATCCAGATGCTGCATGTTTGCATTTTCATGTGGTGTGTTTGGTAGATCTGAATGTGCTTATTTATTTTTTAGGTTTTTCAGTGTTCAGGTTGCAGTCGGTAGCTTAACGTGATAGGTGTAGTTGATGGAAATAACTAGCATCAATACCTGTGAGAATTGGACCAGACGTGGTAGAGCACATTGACTGAGGCTACTCTGTACAGTTGCAAAGGAGTATGTAACTAAAGATTTTGAAAGTTTTCATCTTCTAAATCTTTGTCTGAAGTGTTTCAACAATTTTTCTAGGGAATAATGGCACAGAGGTAACTACGAATGTTTTCAAATATTTGGGGATCCTCCAATGTAAAACACTGTTTAGTACCTAACTCTTCATCCTTGCAGATCTCAGTAACCCCTTTAGAGGATGACTGATTTCTTTTGGTGTTCAGAGTCAATAATATTTTCTAGCACCATTTGAAATCGGTTATAGTGATTGGGGAATTGCTCCTTGTGAATTTTATACAAGAGACTCCAAAGAGAATCTTTTAATGCTGGTACCTAGGACTGAAAAAAAAAAGGACTGTAAAAATTATATTCAGAATGCTTTGGAAAGTCAAACAGTGCTCAATGTGAAGATAAAGGGAGATTGTTTTTCCAGTGGGAATTATCAGTGTGGACTCAAGATCAAGAAAAAACATGCTGAAAAACACTGTTGGTTTAATGATCTAGCCAGGGGGTATAAGGAAATAAAAAGTCAGCAGCAGGAACCTTTCCAGTCTCCAGTTAGTGCACTCTGGACATTCTGAAAGACAGATCTTGTGCAAGATTTCATTGCTAACCTAAGAGCTTTTGCCTTCTCCACTCTTACACTGCTAACAGCATAAGCCACAAAACTGAGTCATCTTCCCAAGGATGTTACTTATCGAAGTTTTCTCCAAGAATTGTGCTCTTCAGGGAAGCAGAACTGGCCAGAGATGCAGAGTCTGACTCTGGGTCATATCCTCAGTTGCAGCAGGAGCTCATTAGCCGTGAAGATAATTTCTGAAAAGCATTCCTCAACCAGAATATCATACTCTCTGGGAGGTAGTAACACAGACTGCAGTACATCCCTCTAGCAGGGGATGTTTTCCTAGATTAACTGCTTATAGAAGGAGTACCTTGCTTTTACTGGTTCTTTTCTGTGGGGAAACTGAAAAATAGCAGCTGTAGACTGCAAACAAGTGGAGCAGCTGTTGAGGATTCAGAAACATTCATAATCTGGTAACTTGTTGGGAGCAGTACATTCACCCTTTGCCTTCCCTTGTGTTTGTTTGACTAAGAAGGCATCAAGTTGTCACAATCTAGAAGAGGCTCAGTGTGGAAGGTACACGGCCTCTTTCTGGTCTCTTGCTTCAGTCCTTTTGTGAAATCCACTGCCATGATTTGTCTTGTTTAAACTCTCAGCAGTGGGTGGTGAGTGCTGTGTTTAGTTAGCTCTCAAGTTACCATAAAAACAATTAAAATTCCAAGGGTGTCGAACAGCTAGTGGAGTATATTTTGCACTGTGATGCCAAGAGCTGACACGTGCCTACATACATAGTTTGGGGAGTTTAGCAGATGTTCTTACAGAGCTTGTAAGCTATACAGGAAAAAAAAAAAAAAATACTGCAGCCATGAAATGTGGGTTACAAATAATCAGTATGTTTTGAGTCTGTTTAGCGCAGAAGTAGCTCCCATACAGACCTTTGCTTAAATTATTTTTTATGCAAAGTCCATCAACAAGGACTTAAAGGTATTCAGAGTTTAGTGGCTTGTTCTGTGCTTGCCAAGGTGAGGTCTGAAAACGAAGAAGTTTTTACACTTAAAGAAAATTTGCTATCACAAAGACTAATCTTATGGTGAGAATCAATTACAAATCAATAATAAGTGATCACAGGAAAAAAAAAAGCCTCAAGGATACTATCAAAATTTAATTAATTCTGTTGAAAGGTAAGAGGTTTTTAAGCTGTAGTAATTTTCTCTGTTTGTACCATATAGTGAGAAACAAGGAAGCTGCCAAGTACTTGGATTCCCTGAAAAGCTTTTCTGATGTGAGTAATGCTGCAAATGTGCCTGTGTGCTTAGAAGACTGCGTCCTATTGCTTGTTAGATCTTTCTTGCAGCTGCAGGGAAAGAAAGAGAGAAAGAAAAGAAAGAAAAGGGAAGGAAAGAAAGAAAGATGCTAAGTGAAAACAAAATTCACTGTGAAGTAGAGGAGAAATATACAATGGATTTGTTTCTGCTTACTCTCTGCACTTGATCTTTTTGAAAGTGAAGCTGCTACTAGAGAACAGCCTTCCTTGTCATGCAGCCAGATGTAGATGTAAAGCAGTGTTGATGAAGACCGCAGCCATCTTAGAATGTTTGTCAGGTCCCACAGTGTCCCTACTGCTTGCTTGCAAGTTTGCTCCATCCTCCATCCATTCATCCATTTCCTCAGGGACATGATTGAGCAGGGGGTTGTTAAGAGTTAGCGTAGTATGCTTAGGTTGAGGATGGACTTGATGATCTTTAAGGTCTTTTCCAACCTGAGCAATTCTGTGATTCTGTGATGATCCTACCCTTGAGTACCCTGCGGCAGTTGTAAAGTGCGAGGAGGTTCCTTCATGGCCTGTGAGGTTTCTTTTCTGGAGTGATGTTGAAATGGAGTAAAAACTGATACCATGCCAAAAAACAGCGCTGAGAGACAATCACTGCTATTGCACCAAATTTTGTTTGCTCCCTCTGTGGAAGCATTCAAGGCCAGGCTGGATGGGGCTGGGAGCAACTTGGTCTAGAGGGAGGTATCCCTGCTTATAGCAAGGGGTTGGAATTAGATGATCTTAAAGGTCCCTTCCAACCCAAACTGTTCTGTGATTCTGTGATTCTAGACTTCTGTTATCCTCCATCATAATTCTGACACCTGGATTTTGCGTAGAGAAGCTCTGTAAACTCCATCATGCATTGGGGATTTAGGGAGGAAATAACTTTCTAACATTGTGTAAGAATTTGGGATGGTGGTGGACAAGGATTTTGTGTCCATGACAGATGAATTCATGGTCAGATCAGTAATTTTCAGCAGCCTAATCCTTGCATAAATTGATGAAGCATGCAGGCATAAAATGCTTGTCAGAGGGAAGAGTAGAAAATAAGACAAAATTGTATATTCTGATAAATTGTTCCCAAGTCTTTCAAAGCAGCTTGAGATTTCATAGCTAAAATAACCTGCGTTGAGGTTATTTTAACTGTGTTGACCTTTTGTCATGTCCTTAGTGTGGTCATGTCCTTAGTGCATGTCATGCACTTTTCCAGTGTAGTAATGGGCTTCAGGGATACAAGCAGAAGAAGTGCAGGTAGCATGGGTTTTGCTACCCATGGGTGATTCCAGCTGGGATGTTTACTAAGTATGGAACAGCAGAGGTTTGTGTTGGCAGAGTTTTCTTGCGCTGTAAAACACAGTATTAAAGCTTAGAAAATTGAATATGCCAGGAGAGCAAATTCTCCTTTTGGTAACACTAGCAAAAATAGAGTTACAATTCCTAGATATCTTTTCTGGTAAATCATGTCCAGAGGATAATGAAGCAATTTTTGGTTGCTTGTGTGCTTGCCTACCTGTCCTATTACCAGAGTTCATCTAACAGATGGCTTCTGCTCTCCAGTGTTTCCCACCAGATCACAGAATCACAGAATCACAGAATCACCCGGGTTGGAAGGGACCTCAAGGATCATGTAGTTCCAACCCCCCTGCCTAGCAGGGCCACCAAACGTACACATTCAGATCAGGTTGCCCAGGACCCCATCCAACCTGGCCTTGAACACGTCCAAGGATGGGGCATCCACAACCTCCCTGGGCAGCCCGTTCCAGGGCCTAACTACTCTCCTTGTGAAGAAATGAGATGCAAAGATGCATCTCCCCTGAGAAGGTTCAGAGGTTTGTGGTTCCAGGCATAACAGCTGGATTAGTTATCCACTTCTGTCTCAGCTGTTCACCAGGTGTGTAAGGACATAACTAGATACCACCAGTAACTACAGTGGTTTGCTCAGAAGTTGCTGCACAGCCTCTCTGGGCAGCCTGTTCCAGTGCTCTATTACCCTCAAAATAAAGATTTCCCCATGTTTGTACGGAACTCTTGTATTCCAGTTTGTGCCTTTTGCCCCTTATGCTGTCATCTGGTACCACCAAAAAGAGCCTGGCCGCATCCTTTTGACATCTGCCCTTCAGATATACAGAAATGTTGATAAGATTCCCTCTCAGTCTTCTCTAGACTGAGGTGTCACTCCTCCCTCATAGAAGAGATGCTCCTCCAGACCCCTTACCATCTTTGTAGCACTCAGCTGGATTCTCTTCTCTCTCTTTCTTGAACTGAGGAGTCCAGAGCTGGATAAAGTAGTCTAGAGGTGGCCTCC